CCCAGACTGGGTGGCATGGCAGGGGCACTCTGTGGCTGTCCTTGAGACTTGGAATTTCTCTCATTTTGGCAGTAGCTCAGAGAGCTTCATCACAGACATGAATAACCTGGGGACAGTAATACCTTCTTTAGATTATCATTTGCAGCTTTATCAGTAAGGCTCAGCCTGTTCAAATAACTAAGTGAAAGATTCACTATTTTAAAAAAATATAATGTTGTATTTCATTTCTGCAGTTTAACATGTAAGAATGCTTTCTAAACTTTTCATTAGTGGCTCCATTTTATTTTCACCGATGACTTTTATTAACAAGTAATTTGTATTGGTGAGGCTCCTTTAGCTGCAAGGGTTGGACACCTCACCCAAGCTCGCTTACAGCAGGCAGGGGGGTGTATTGGTTCATATCCTCAGTAAGACCATGGAGGGATCTGAGTCAGATGCAGCTGGATCCAAGGGCTCGGCGACACCAAGCCTGTGACGCTCCACTTCTCAGCTCTCCCTGTCTCCGTGTGTTCTCATTCTCAGGCTGACCTTGGCAGGTAAGAAGGTTAGCAGCAGCTCTAGACTCACAGCCTGCCGGTTTAGCCAGCCTGTATGTCCATCTTTCAGAAGAGTGTGGTCAGCCAGTCTCGAGTTTCCTCCGAATCAATGCCTTTGACTGGGGACGTGTGGACTCAAATGGTCAGCCTGGGTCACATATTCTTTCCCAGCGTCAAGGGGCAGAGAATGTGACCGGCAACTCAAGGAAAGAGGCAGAAGAATGTTCTTAACAGAAATAGCTATTGCTGTCTCATTTCCACCACCCAAAAATCTGCAAGAGCCACTCAGAGTTAAAATGACATAAAAATGTTAATTTCCCCTAAAAAGATGTATCATTGGAGACTCATTCACCAAATAATTCATGTTTTGTTTCCTCCTTTACCTCTGTCCTTTCGCAGTGGGCAAAAGGACAAAACCATTAAAGAAAAAAAATTGAATCATTTTCTCTATTTCACTTTTAAATATTCTTACCACCTCTTTAGCTTTTCTAACAAACTTGTCACAAAAATTTGCAGTTGTCATTTGGTTTCACAGTCTCCACCTGCTGTGAGCAGCCCTTTTAAGCTGAGACTAACACTCTGTCTCTGATCCAGCTGTACTTACACAGTGTCTGGCTGAAAGTAGGTGTTCGGTAAAGGCGTGTGGAACAAGCTGGCGAGCGAGTGCATGGAACGCACCTGCCTGTCTGAAGGTGCCAAGGCTTTGAAGAGCGAGGGATCTGGGATTTCACTGCTCATTTTGTCGAAGTTGGAATTGGAGCTCTGGTATCTTCCTAGCCCAATTTAGCGTTTAAAAATTTTTCTAAAAGATTTTTAAAACTTTAGAGAGAAGGGAAGGGAGGTAGAAAGAGAGGGAGAGAAACATCAGTCAGTTGTCTCGCGTGAGCACCCCAGAGAGGAGATCTGGCCCGCCATCCAGGCATATGCCCTGACTGGGAATCAAACCAGTGACCTTTCGGTTTGCAGGATGATGCGCAACCCACTGAGCTACACCCGTCAGGGCTAAAATGTTTGTTTATTTCTTTTAACAGGCTCCCAAAACAAGTCACCAATGGGGCCATATGTGTGCCAGTCTGGAACTTTCAGTCCCTGTGTGTGTGTAGTGACTGATCCAATAATGAAGACGTTGGGTCCCACAATAGGGACAGGAAGAGTCTCAGCATTTCTGAGCAGTGTGGCTGTCCAGTCCTTTGAGAACAGTCACTTCTAGTGCCATCTTCGGGAACTTCCTGTGTAGAAGAAGTCAGGCTGAGTTGAGCTGTGGTTTCATGACTTCTTGCAGAGTTCCGGCAAAATGGCAGACAGGGACAGTGCCCTCAGCAGCTTCTTACCTCATCTTCTGGGTTTCTCTCCCCTTTATCTTCCATAGCAAACCAACTTTGACTCTTGCTCTCAGTGGTCCATGTTTCTTCTCCTAAGCCCCATTCCCTCTGTTAGACTGGAGTCAATTAAGAACAAGGACAGAATTCCAGATTAATATGTAAACTTGCATTACATTGTTTAAAAAATACAAATCAGCTCTGGCTGGTGTGGCTCAGTGGATTGAGTGCTGGCCTGTGAACCGAAAGGCCTTGGTTTGATTCCCAGTTAAGGCATGTGCCTAGGTTGCAGGCCAGGTCCCCATAGCTGGAGACGTGTGCGAGACAACTGATTGATTGATGCATCTCTCACACATTGATATTTATTTCCCACTCTCTCTCCCTCCCTTCCTCTCTCTCTAAAAATAAATAAAATCTTAAAAAAATACAAATCAATACTCATTGGGAAATGTAAGGGCAAGTCTCTCTCCTATTTAAAAATGTATCAGGGCCAATAACTTGGTATCCTAAAAGGTGGCCATATCAATCAGGGTTAAATCAGAGAGGCAGATCTAGTGGGAGATATATATTGAGATTTATTCAAGGAATTGGCTCATGGAATTTGAAGAGGCAGGTTAGGCAAGTGTCAAATCCTGAGGAGACACTGTCAGGAAGAGTGGGCTGAACTCTTGGGCATGGACCAAAGCTCCTGTCCAAGGGTAGAATTTCTTCTTCATGGAAGCTTCAGCTTCCCTGTTAAGGTCCTTCCATTGAGTGAATGAAGCCCACCCACATTATTTAGGATAACCTCCCACACTTCATTCCAGCTTATTGTGGCCTTCAATCATATCTGCAAATATACCTTCACAGCAATGCCAAGATTAACATTTGATTGAATAACTAAGCATGGTAATCTAGCCAAGTCAACACGTAAAACTGACCATCAGAGTGGCCAGTTGGAGTTCTAGTAAATTCTGCAGACTTGTAAACTGCTGTAAGCTCTTGGGATATTTCATTGAATAAAACAGTTTCTGCTCCTGTGGTGCTCATATTCTAGTGGAAGATAACAGACCATAAAATAAACAGAATATATAAATTTATAGTGGCAGTATATAGTCATAAGAATAATAAATTGGGAAGGGAATAGACAATGATGAGTATATATAGCTACATAATTTGTGGGGTTTAGTGCAAAATGAAAATTTAGTGTCTTCTATTCAAAAAGTAGGGAAAAAATGTCATTAAAGGTACTAAAATCAAAAGCTTTTTCTTTCTTTTATGAATCTCTCTCTGGAATAGTCATGGTTTTGTGTTTTTTTTCTACTTAATGCTCTTCTAAGTAAAGAAAAATTTAAAGTTATTACCATGAATTTACCATTCATCATTACATTGCAAAATCCCCACTTTAAATGCAAATATAAGAGCTGAATTATTGAAATTACACAATTTTCATTTCCTAGCTCTCCTATGTTTTGTTCTTACCAGAGCAGTGCGAACACTCCTCAAAACTAACTCTCCTGTTTTTGTTTCACTTCTAATACGTGGACACTCTACTGCCACTACCTTTCATTTACTGATTAGTGAGGCAGGACTGGGAGGAAGAGGAGCTGTGGTTGCCCTGGCTGCCCCTGTCCTTCTGTGTTACCATTTTCAGCATAAGTGGTTGCCTAATATAGGAAAGTTGTACAAATGAAAAGGATATGGTAGGGTTCCTCGGTCACTCTTGCAACACAACTGACTTCTTTCTGCATCTGAAGCAGAGCATACTGACTCACAGGCTTAACTTGCTCACCTTGCACTCACTTTGCATCTTGCTGAATTTTATACGCCGGGGAACGCACACGTTGTGCACATCCTTCTGCTCATGAGAGATTCCAACTGTTCCATCAGACTTAGTTTACAAAACACAAAATCAGGGAGAAAGTGATCAAGGATTCCTTCTCTGAATCTCCCTCTGAAACAGTCATGGTGGATTTTAAACCTAGAGCATTAGACCAAACATAGAGCCCTACTGCGCGTGAGGCCCTCAGATGTGATTGTACAGGTTGCATGCCCATGAAGTATGTGTATGTATGTTTATGTGTATATTTGTGTGTGTATATGCATGTTATTTTAGCTGATGTTAATAAGGAAGGACCTGTCTCATAGGGTGACATTTGGTCAGGGTCCCCAAGAAGGTGAGGGAGCAAGGCGTGCGGATACCTAGGGCACAAGTAGCACATTCAGAGGTTCCAAGACATGTGTATCTGGCTTGTTCTCAGGAGGTAAAGCAGCCACTGAGGCTGGGTCTGAGCAAGTGAGAAGGTGAGGCGTGGGGGATGAGGTTAGAGAGGCTGCGGGTCCATCCCTGAACCTCATAGGGGCTCGAAGGCCAGACTTGGACTTTCTCCATGAGAAGAGGGGAAGACTTGGGAGAGATTGAGCAGAGGGATGACATGTCATAATTAGATTTTAGAAGGACCCTCCCCCCGCCCCCCAGCTGCTGTGTGGCCATCCTCAGCACAGGGGCAAGGTGGGAAGTTTGGACCAGTTTGGAAGCTGCTAGACCAAACCAAGATGGAGACTGGACTGGGTGTAGAGATAGTGCTGAGGAAATATGCTTAGATTCTGCATATATTTCAGAACTAGTGCCAACAGCAGTTGCACAGAGACTTGATATTTACTTCATTGAGAAATACTGCATTTCCCAACGTTCTAGAGCCAAGGCATAGCAAAGCTAAAGGAGGCAGAAGTCTTGTGTTCTTTTCACCAATTTTTTTTCCTTTTCCATTATCTCTAAACTTCCCTCCAAATTGTTCTTTAGCATCCTCTTTTGAACATCTTCGCTTCTTTCGTTAAATTCAGCAGGGATTCCACCTCTAGGATTTCATTGGTATATATCCCTTGGGAAGACCAAGGTCAGAGCAAGGTCACGGTTGACTCCACCACTACCCCGTGTTCTCGTGATGGCTGCAGGGGCGGGGGGTGGCTGTCTCCCACATTCTCACTTCAGCAATGTCCTGACAATTTTTCCGTGCTCTGCTTTACCCACTATCTCTTGGCCTCCTCAGTTAAGACAGAGGTAATGAAATGAAGAGTCTGCTACTGGGTTTTATGTGCCATTGCACCATGGGCAATTCTGAATGATTTAACTGTATTTCGCTTATTTCTTTTCCCTGCTTTTCAGCACTTTCAGACCATGCTGAAGTCGAAGTTGAATGTCCTAACACTGAAAAAGGAGCCTCTGCCAGCCGTCATCTTCCATGAGCCCGAGGCCATCGAGCTGTGCACCACCACGCCCCTGATGAAGAGCAGGACTCACGGCGGCTGCAAGGTATGTGGCACGTGGCCAGCAGAGACTCTCTTGTGGGACAGATGAAAGGACGTGCAGCCTTAACATGCCTGTTTCACAACAGTAACATTTTTAAAGAATGAAAATGTCAAACAACTAACAAACTCACTGAGTGATGATAGTATGAATTCATATCCTGCTTTATTTTTCTTAATGATATAGCGCTCTTCATAATTTGGGCGTAACATTAAAGACATAAGTTTAAGGATATGTTAAAAAAAATAGTGTTCTTGCCATATTTTTATAGCCCTGTGGAACTTTATATGAAAGTTCTGTCCATAATGATGATTTAATTCGTCTCTTTGTATTTGCCATCTGAATAATACATGGCTTACCAAGTGAAAAACAAAACAAGTTTCTCAACAGTTGTATCCTGTGAGTCCTTTGGGGGGTAATTTTGTTTTTTTGTTTTTCTTTAGCTCTCAACATTTATACTAATATTCCTGTCTTAGAATCCATTGACAACATTTTTGTTTATATGGACTGTAATGCCAACACAGAAAGAAAACCGAAAGTGAAGTGTGTAACTTCGGTACACTTTTGGACTCTTTCTTATGATATTCTTTTTTACCTGAGTTGATGAACATAGAAGTCTATTTAGAGGCAACAAAGAAAATATATTACGCATATTTTGTCACCAGAAATTTGTCTTGAGTGTTGAGGGGCCGGAAAATGCTTGTTTGCATGGGGATTTCTTGTATAACCTTGGAGACCCACTCCTTCCCTTACTGCCTTCCAGGTTGGGGAAGCAAAGATCCATTGATCTTTCTTGTCGGGGTGTTCAGTCCCTTCCCTGGTCCTTGCATAGCTGTGATCAGGTTGGGGCCGACAGCAATCTGGAGCAGTGGCGAGGTGCACAAAGCCTCATACACCTCCATTCATTCCCGAAATGCTCACTGGGTGCTCTCTGGCTGCCCGACACTGGGGGCGGTGTGAGCAACACCAGCAACAGCTTTATGGGCTTAACTGCTGGTTGGAAGAGGAGGGAGGAGAAAGCACGGGGAAACAAGTCTCGGCTGGTGAGAAAGCCAGCCTGTGAAGAGCTGGTGGAAGGGCCTGGTAGGCCGAAGGATCAGGGCGTGCTGGTTCTCTGAGGTGGACATGGTCTGTGTGCTTTGGAATGGAAAGCAAGGGGCCAGCATAGCTGGCAAGTTGAGGACGCCATGGTGAGTGTTCTAGTTGGGTGCGGGTTCGAGTATAGTAAGAGTCTGGTTGTCACGGCAAAGAGTTTTTGTTCTCATTACTACGAGGAGCCGTTCAGAGGGATTAAGGGCAAGCAAATTATGGGAATCTATTTAAAAAAGTGATTTTATTTTTATTAGATTTTATTTTTCAATTCTGTCCCATATCCATTCCTTTCCGTATCACTTTGTGTTAATTTCAGGTGTGCAGCATAGTGATTAGCCCATCATATACTTTGCAAAGTCTTCTCCCAATATTTCCAGTACCCAGCTGGCACCAGACACAGTTATTACAATATTGTTGTAATATTATGCCGTACTTTATATCCCCTTGACTGTTTTGTAAGTTAAGTACCGACCTGTCCTTCTTCCTTCACCTTTTCACTCAGTGCCTCAACACTCCTCCCCTTTGTCAACCATCACTCTGTTCTCTGTATTTATGAGTGGGTTTCCATTTTGTTTGTTCATTTAATTTGTTCTTTAGGCTCCACGTGTAAGTTAAAACACATGATATTTGTCTTTCTCTGTCTGACTTATTTCACTGAGTATAATACCCTCTCGGTCCATCCGTGCTGTCTCAAATGGTAAGATTTCGTTCTCTTACGGCTGAGGAATATCCCGTTGCACATGTATGTACTGCAGCCTTTTTCTTGGGCACCGTTGCAGATTGGTGCAGCCATGATTGACTCTAGCTCAGCTGGGAAGAGTGGATCCACGGAGCTGGCCTCAGGTCACGTCGGATGTAGTGCTTTTGGTGAATTGATGACTTAAAGGAATTATAAAAATACTCACTAAATTTAGAAGTGATATGAGATCAAATTGGGTTTTATATCCTTTAGAGATTCCCTAAAGTCATTTCCAATTCTGTTCCAGGTGAGGAAAAAGGAGCCTCTCTAAAGCAGGATGAAGTAGCTAGGGACGAGTCTCAGGAGAAGGGCTTGCTTTGATAAAGTCTACAGAGTATGTTTAAATGGGAGGGGAAAATGCAGTTACAGAGTCAAAAGATTTAAGAATCCAATCCAGATATGAAAGAGGTGTGTGTGTGTGTGTTTACATATATGAGTATATACATACATGCATACACATTCTTTATGAGAGAGAAAGAAATTTGGTAGGAGAATAAACACTATCATTGTTCTAAAAAGGAATATACGGTTCAAGATTCATGGTGTGATTTTATCTTCTGTGTACTGCCTCAGGTCATGGCCATTTAGTTTGCTTCTAAAAGGATGTTGAAATCGATAGAAGGAGATGAGAAGAACAGCCACAGAGAGCGAGGGTTGCCCTGGCATCTGCTGAGGGGCTAGCGGACAAAGGGGAGCTGCAATGAATTCAGCTGGGCACAGGGAAGAACTTCTGCTTTCAAAGTGAAAAACACACCCCACTGGGCCAGAAAAAATTTATGAACTCTCCATCCCTAGACATCTTGAAGAGGAGACTCCAGACCTAGATAACTGTAATCCTGGAATCGGGGACCTGGGCCAACACCCCTTGAGTTGCTTCCCAGCTTTGTGATTTTATTTGAAGGGAGAAAACCTCCAATGTATCATCCTTCCACGTGTGTACTATAATACACTTTATACATTTAAATTTTAACTGGAAATGTACTGGAGTTACAGCTTTTAATTTTCAAGGATGATGCTGTATTTGTGTCCAGAGTCATTCTTTTGTTTAAAAAAAAAAAAAAAAGGTTAGATTTTGAGCCTTGATAGTTCTATTTAAAATCTCTAGACCTCCCCTGATTTTTTTTCCTGATCATCCCTTGGAACAAAGTGCAATGTTTCCTCTCTGATTCTTGCGAATAACTTAGCTCACAAAATGCCAGCTGCAGAAGGAACTCTCCCTGGGGGCTCTCGCCTGCCAGGAATAATGAATGTGGGGTAGCTCGGGCCCGGCTGCAGGGCCAGTGTACGGGGCCGGGGACCCCATGGTCACACAGCACTAGTTCTTGCCTAACAGCTCTCGAGTTGTGCTTGCATCCCTTTAGGTTTGGGGAAGAGAGAGAGGCAGGAGGAAGCAAAGGAAAAGGGAGCTGAAGATGGATTATGGTCCCAGCTCCTCTCGGATTCCCTATTTCCCTCTGATCTGTATTCTCCGTGGGTCCTGGCGGGGTTGCCTTGCCAGGCTATTCATGTCGCGGGCAGCTGGGTCTTTGTGTGTTCTTCTCTATTGCTGCCACTCTTTTTTTCTTTTTCCTGCAGTGGAGTTCTTTAACTGTACTGCTCACTGCATACCATTAGGATGCTCCCACCAGAACCCATGCTGGAGCCGTTCACAGCTTCAGATGCTGCGTCTGATTTTACAGCGACAACAATGGCTTGTCATTCCTGTCTTCTGCTGCCCAGCTCAGTGCAATCCTAGGCGGCTTCCGCTTGTTAGCAAACATTCATTTAATTAATAGTCATTGAAAGACTGCTGTGTACATGGAATTGTGGAGAAAGGAGTCAGAATAGGTATTGTGGGTAATGTGACTTACAGCCAAGTAGAGCCAATAAGGGAGGTGTGCCCCACCCCCCAAATCGCCAGGGCTTTGGAGATTCCTGTGGGTATCAGAAACCCCTAGGGGAAGATTTCTGGACCTTTTCCCCCCAGAGAGTTTGATTCAGGCACTCAGCTTAGTGGTGGCGAATGAGAGCCCGCACTTAAAAACCAAACATGTAATTTACCTGAAGTGACACCTGACCTTGCTTGGAGCTCGAGGGCCTGAACCACAGGGTGGTGGGTGACAGAAGCAATGTAAGTGACATAGGTGAGCGCAGCCCCCGTTCGGTGGGAGCTGGGGTGGGGATGGCGTGCGGGGGGCTGGCTGGCTCTTGTAGGGCTAGGATGGGTTTGCCACGCAGCTGACCAGGAGGCTGATGTCTAAGCGAGGCCCTTAGGGCCTGACGTCACCTGGGGCGAAGCGCCGGCTGCCAAACCTCGCCTCCTCCTGAGTGAGGCACGGGGCTTGGCGCCCTGAGAAGCCCCTCTGAGGCCCTGCTGTCCTCCTCCCGTTTGTAAGGGCAGAAAAAAATCGAACAATCTAGTTCCTGAGAAGGGCTTCCTGATTCTTAAACCGTAACAGTTTTTGTATGACTTTGAGATTCTTTGCCATCAGGAGTGACAGGTGGTCCCTGACTCTCGGAGAGGATGTGGTTGGTTTACAGTCCCGTGGGATGGAGAAGGGACGTTGCGGAGCTGAAGGCTTGCCAGGCAGCTGTCAAATCCTACCATTCCACGCGTGTGCCACATGGCCAGTTTAGAAGTGGATCCCAGAATTCCCCCGGCTTTTACAGCGAGAGCTCCCAATTTTTATTTACATAGGTTGAGAATTAGCATTGCATGCTCCTTCTTTCTATACTTATATTTTTGTGTTTATTGGATCAGTTATATATCTAATTAGAAATAAAATTTTATTTTCTCATTTTAGCCAAAGCCTCAGTTTTTTCTAACCCATTAACAGAAGGGAGAAACACTAATTATGTCATGTTGTCACGCTCATTGAAGACGCCTCTGCAGCCCTACCTTGGTGTCGGCCATTTTGGTCATGGCATGAACCCAATTATGCCAATTATACATACCTTGTTCCCTGAAAAAAGATAAATTTCTGATTTTGATATCAAGGCAGAATACATATTATGGATTTATAAGATAATATATAAAATAAGATTCAGTCCCATGGTCTTTATTGGTTATTTTCCTCTAAATTCAGACTGGATGATATTTAATTCTCATGTATTTTCTCTTCATTCTCTCTCAGACTTCCTTGTAAACATTAAAGCACATCATTTCTGCTTGTTTCCCAAATATAGAAAGGTAAAA